GACAAGGGACGCGTCTCCAGGCAGTCGATGGTAGCTCTCAAGGGCGGGGGCCTCTGTGGGTCCAGAGCTCAGGGGACACAGCACCCTGGGAGGCCTGAGGGAGGGGTGGCCAGGCCGAAGCTCATCGGGCACAGAGGCTTCCGTGGGAGCTGCCAGGAGCCTCCTAAGCCCCGAAGTGGCCTTGCCCCCTTGCCAATCGACGGCCCGCCAGCTGGGACGTGCCTCCGACGTTGTTTCAGAATGAGCCAGTCCCTTCGGGGGTGTCCCGCAGCGCGCCCCACTCTGCCCTTGGCCCTCTCAGATCCCTAAAATCTCCCAAAACCTGAAAGCAGCTCTTGCTGTGAGCATCCAGGAAGTGTTTTTTTTGTCGGTTTCTTATTTTTTTTGTAATTTCACACAATTTCTTGGATCCATTCCCTGCATGGCTGGGCCACCAAGGGTTCAAGGCCGTGGCCTTGGCGGTGCCTCTCACTACCCTTTCTCACATCATTTTGCTGGGGGTTTCCTTAGCAAGGGAGCTGGCTGGTGGCGGGGACAGTCCTGGCCCTCTCCCTGAGTCTCAGCAGGGACCCTGGGCCGCGGGGCCGGTTGGCTGTGGATGTCACATTTCCGGGAGGGGCATAGCCTGCTCCTCCCACGAGGAGCGGGCCGCCCGCTGCCGGCCACCTGAGGAAGCGAGACTCAGCTGTCCTGTCTCTGGTTCCTTTCCAGCCCCGGCCTGCTCCTGCTGCTGCTCAGCGGCCTGCGAGCCGGTAAGTTCTCCAGAGGCCGTCTGACGGGGACCCGGGGTGCAGGCGTCAGCAGCGGCCCTTCCTGCTTTTCCCAGGGCCCCCATGAGAAAGCTGGGCCCCGAGCCCGAGTAGCATGTAGGCCCAAAGGCCGCAGCGGGGACGCTCATCCAGAGACCCGGGGGTTCTTGTTGGACGGGGTGCCAGGCGGCGGGGCAGTGCCCTTCCTCCTGCAGGTTCCAGTCCTCTGCTTTCCAGGGGAGGCAAGAGCTTCCGGCTCTCCTGGCTCTTGGCCGGGGTCAGCCCTGGGGAGCCCCCGAAACCACAGCTTCTGAAGAGCAAGGAGCAGGGTCGCGCACTGCAGTCGAGGCCGAGGCCTGTGAGCCCTCCAGCCCGAGGGTGGCGGGGGCAGGGGACACGGCTGCTCTCGCTGCAGGCAGCTACGCGGCTGCACGTGGGTGAAGCCACTCTGGGCACACGCCACCAGCCTTTTCTGATGTACAAGCAGTGTTATACGAGGCCACTGTTGAGAAGCGGACGTGTTCTTTTAAATGACTCAGTTTTTAAAAACCTTTTCCATTTGAATTCATTATAAACCCCCAAGAAGTAGCAATAGGAGTGCATCAGGGTCCCAGGGTCCCGTGGTCCCCGTTTCTCCCGTGCTAGCCTGTCACATACCGAGGGCGCGCCAGCCCTGGGGGACACAGCGCAGGAGCTTGGCGCACCCGTCTGGGTGTCAGGTACCGCCTTCCGGGGCGTGTCTGGCGGACACGTCCCTCGTTTTGACGTGAGTTGGAGCCGGTGTTGGGGTCTCGTCCCCAGGAAGCCCCCAGCCCTCCCGGGGTAGTTCCGCGAGCTCGGAGAATGAATTTCGTCCTGTTTGAACCTTTGCAGATGTTCAAGAAAAGGAAGTCAGGGCGATGGTGGGTAGCGACGTCAAGCTGAGCTGCGTCGACTCCCAAGAAAACACTTTCAACTTAAACGAACTTTTCGTTTATTGGCAAATCAGCGTCACTGGCAAACCGAAAACCGTGACTTACTACCTGTCCACGAACGGCTCCGTGGGCCACGACGATAACCAGTATAAGGGCCGGGCCGAGCTGTCACTGGACGGCATGAGACGGGGCGACTTCTCGCTGCGTCTGTACAACGTCACCCCCCAAGACGAGCAGAAGTTTAACTGCCTGGTGTTCAGGAATTTGGAGAGGGTTTTGAATGTGGTGGTCACGCTGCACGTGGCAGGTAAGGGTGTCGGCGTGGCGGCTGACCGCACCGCAGCCTCACGGCCCGGCGGGAGGGGGTCGACAGGTGGGTTTCAGGCTCAGACCCGGTTCTTCCCGCGAAGTGAACCCGGTCAGCGTTACAGGCTCCCGCGTAACCGCGTGTGCAGCTGAACTGGTTGGAAATCCTCCCGCCTGCAGGAAAGCTGTGTGTGAGCGGGGGCCGCCTCGTCTCTCCGAAGCCCCCTACCTAAGCTTGCCGCCTCTGCCTCGGACTCGCCACGTCAACTCAAACGAGATTTTTAAAATGAAATTTGGAGAGATTACTGAAAGCGATCAGAATTTAGGAAGATTAGAGCCGACAGGCAGCTCAGGGCGCAGCGTGTGCCGCCGGAGCCCAGTGAGGCCGGCCGCTCGGGGCAGGGAGTGGGTGCCGGTTGCCACCCCCGGGGCGAGTGGGGGCGACTCTTGGGCAGAACAGGGCCAGCGCCCAAAACCCAGACCACAGCCCTGGTCCCGCCCTCTAACTCGGCCCCGGGTGTGGGCGCCATCAGTGTCTGACCTCAGGACCTGGCCCCCCTCCCCACAGCGAACTACAGCATGCCCAAGGTCAGCACCCCCCAGGACCAGGACGAGGAGCTCACGTTCACGTGTAGGTCGACGGACGGCTACCCCAGGCCCAACGTGTACTGGATCAACAGGACGGACAACAGCCTGCTGAGCAAGGCCCTGCACAACAGCTCGGTCTCCCTGAACAGCCGGGGCCTGTACGACGTGGTCAGCGTGCTGAGGGTCCCCCGGACCCCCAACCTGGACGTTGGCTGCTGCATCGAGAATGTGCTTCTGCACCAGAATCTGACGGTCAGCAGCCAGGCCGAGACAGGTACGGCCCACCAGGGTCTGCACGCTGGCCCCAGCCCAGGGCGGGGGCCCGGGCGACCCGAGAGATCTTCACGGGCAGAAGACAGAGTCCCTGTGAGGTGACCGGCGGGGGCTGGAGCAGAGAGGACAGTCAGGCGCTCTGACGCGATCCTGCGTCTGGGGTGCGCCGGGCCGGGCGCTCCCTGCAACCATGCAACTTAGTGGTCACTCACGGGCCGGTTTGGTGGCCTGTTTCGCAGATGAGGGACCAAGGCTCTGGAGGCCTTTGTGACGCCTCAAAGCCCCAGGCCTAGGCAGCGACAGCGCTGGGATCGAAGCCCAGGCCTGCACAGCCCCTACCCAAGCTCTTTGCCTCTGGCCATGTGCCCCCTGGGAAGGCCAGACCCCCCACGATAGCGGGCCTTCCCATGGGAGGGCACAGATGCTGACTCCCCCACAGAGGCCGCGGGGTCCCTGGGCCCTGCCTGCTGCAGGAAAGGGTGCCCATCACGTAACCCGCGGGCCCCAGTGCACAGTGGGAAGGAGGGCCGAGCTTCTGGGTCAGGAGTGAGGATGCCGAGCATCGCACCAGGCACAGGCCCCTGAGCGTGGGCCCTGTGAGCCTGCTCAGGTCACAGGCCGTGACGCGGGCCCCCACCACCAGGAACTCCTGCAGAGCTGGACACAGTCCTTCTCCAAGTCGGGGCAGCCTGTGACTCATCGGTCAGGGTCTCTGAGCCTGAAGGGACCAGGACAAGGGCTGCACGGAAGAGGCCACCTCCGCCTCCCAGCCAGCGTCCTCCGTGGCGGAGCAGCCCGGCCAGCAGCGGGGAGGGGAACCGGAAGGTCCTCCTGAGGCAGTGGCCGCACCCCGGCTCCGCCGTGGGACACCCCGGGGAGCCTGTGGCAGCCCCCATGCCCAGACCCGGGGTGGGGAGCGGCTGCTGATGGGAACGGGGTCTCCCTTCGGATGACAAAAAAGTCCTGGAGTCCGAGAATGGCTGCGGCTGCATGACCTCGTGAGTGTGCTGCATGCCACCGACCCGCTCACCTCGAAGTGGTTAATTTCACGTTACATGAATTTGACAAAAAACTAGAAAAGAAGTTAAATGATTAAGTTAAATGTGAAAAGCAGTGGGGGGGAAGCCTCCTTCCCGCCACGCCCCTCCCCCAGGATGGCGGGGTCACATGTGACGCGGGCGGAGTGAGGTGTGGCCTTCCCCCCTGCAGGGGAAGGCCTCCGCTCAGCCTCCTGTCCACACGCCACAAGCCGGCGCAGGGCGGCGCTCCGGGGCCGGTGCCCCGCACACCGTCCCCCCCCGGGCGGGAAGAGGCCCCTGTCCCCCCCCGCCGGCCCATCTCGACATCTGCCCCTCTTTCTAATAGGAACATCCACGGGAACCAAAAGCAGCATCACGGAGCCTGGCGGCACCGCCCGCGAGGGGAAGTCCAACGCCCTGGTGGCCGTGCTCGTGCTGGGCCTGGTCGCGGTGGCGGTGGCAGTGGGCTGGGCGTGCCGGAGCTGGCGCCTGCCCTGCCGGCGCTATGCAGGTACCAGGCGGGGCACGAGCCCGTGGCCGGCACGTGTCGGGTGGGAGTGAGGGTTCTCGCCGTTCTCAGGACGTTTAAAAGCTCTGCAAGGGGTCGGTCCCCTTGGGGTGCAGTCTGGCAGTGTTCACGTCTGGATGGGGGTTTGCGGCCACGGTCTGGGCCCCGGGCTCCCGACACCAGCTCACAGGTCTGGGGCGGGAAGGGCGGCCTCCGAATCAGAGGGCAGGACGCAGTTCGTTGTCTTGAACGCTGAGCTGCCTCCGGTCCCCACGAGGCTGGCTGTCGGATCCTGGCCCCACTGGGCAGACCCAGGAAGCCCGCGTTTTGTGCATGTGATATAAGGTAGATCTCAGAAGAGGCTAAGAAGCCCAGAAGGTGGGCACGGGGACCCCAGGGCCAGCAAGAGGCCTGCAGGCCGGCCCAGGGGCTCAGGGCATCTCCCGGGTCGGTGGGCCTCCACGCAGGCCCCTCCCCGCTTGCCGCCTGCCCTCACGTCTCTGGTTTGTTCCAACAGGTGCCCAGGCTGTGAGGCCCGAGCTGGAGCTCACCGGTGAGTTTGCTGAGAGGGGGGAGGCTGGGGGAGGAAGCGCTCGTGACATGTGCCCAGGTGGCTTGTCAGCCGCTTTAGTATCTGCCGTTTGGCACAAGCAATACTTGGTGACCAGTACGGAAATGCTAACGTTGTCAGAGACACCGAAGTCCCCAGGGAAGGCACCCCCCCCGGCCCCCTCCCGCACGCAGTCCTGTCCTCGTAGATGCTCACCGGGGTCGGGTCATGGAATTTTTAAACATATGCAGAAGCAGGAGCCTGGGACAGTGACCCCCGGGTATGTCCACTGAGCCTCCGTCCTTACTGCCTCTGTGCACACTCCCGCCACCCCACGGGGGCTCCAGCGAGTCCAGACATTCAATCCTGTGTGATGGCACAGCTGTCTGGTGTCTCCTGGTGGAGGGTGGCGCCCCGTGGCTCTGTAAACAAAGGACCTGTCCCGTCTGGGAAGCATTTACCCGCAGCCTCGGTCTGCGAGGGGCTCTGTAGGCAGACCCGCCCTCGCCTGCTAACGCCTCAGGCAAATGGCCGCACCTGTCAGAGTCCCATTTCTCAGCTTTGGGAAGGGGTCATCCTGGGGAGGGTGCGCCCTGGTTCCCGGAGCACCCACCACGGGTGGCCCGCCCGTTCGCCTGCCGAGCCTGGGCCACGTAGACTGGCTGATGCACGCCCGGGCCCACGCAGGCAGCTCCGGGTCACTGGAGCACAGCTTGCTGAGGACTTGGGGCCTCCCGATCCCAGGCTCAAAGGAGGCGGAACTTTTGCAGGCAGCTGTCGGGAACCCGTAGTGCCACCGTCCTGAGTCCCGAGACAGTCAGTCTCTGCCTCCAAAAGGACGACGAGCAGCCACGGCGTTTGACTTCCGTCCTTTCTCTTCCCTCCCAGACCACGTCTGATGAGACTCACCGCCCAGGACGTGGACGGGGCTTCTGTGAGATGCCACGAGGACGGGCGTCACACGGCAGCTTGAGAACTGACTCGAGCAGGCTGGTGGCCGAGGGGGACCATCTGCCCCAACCTGCACCACTGACGACGGGCCTCACGGACAGAGCCTCCTGCCTGGAGGGGACACGCAGAGGCCTCCCCTGCAGAGACGGCGCTTGGCCCCGGGGAGGCCTCACAGACAGAGCCTCCTGCCTGGAGGGGACACGCAGAGGCTTCCCCTGCAGAGACGGCGCTTGGCCCCGGGGCGCCTCCCTGGTCCCACAGCAGCTCTGGGACGCATCTCCGAGCGGGAGGGCGCCCCACCGCCACTGCCGAGGAGCAGAGCAGAAAGGGCCCAGGATGGCTCCTTCCCACCAGCCGCCCTGGCCCTGCCGGCCCCCCAGCCTGCACCCAACCTGCGCTGCGGCCAGGGGCTCCCACGCTGCCTGTGCTGGTGTGCACCCCAAACGCAGAAAACAGCCGATTTGGCTTCCTTTAGGGGATCCTCCGAGAGGGCGTCCGACCTCGGCTATGGGGGCCAAAAGCCAGGGCTCCATCTGGGGGCCGCACAGGGGAGTCATGAGGAGAAGCCTCCCCAGAAGGGACCACCAGGGGCCTCGGAGTGGGGCAGCGGCACGGACGGCAGGGCGCTCGGCAAGGCACAGGAATTCCCCGAGTGCGCGTGTGGCTCCCGCCCCGCCGCCCACCGCCCGCCGCCTCCTGCCCGGCCCGCGCTGAGAACCCCAGGGTGATGGAGACCCCGCTCGTTGCCAGGGCCCTCCCGGGCGATGGGAGACTGGCAGTGGCCCTGTTGTCTGGAATGAATCAAGCAGTAAAATGTTTCCAGAATGTTCTGCCAAGGAGCCTGCCAGATGCGTAGCCCGGGAAGGCGGGGCGGGGCGGCTTCCCCGCAGTCATTTAGTGCTGCCGGCCCCAGACCCCAGCGTGGCCCCGAGGTGAAGCCACGTCCAGCACGCGCTCCGAGGACGCGCGTGTCTGTGTCTGGGACAGCTGCTTGTTAATGAGTGCGAGGGGCCCCCCAGACCTTCACCGCGAAAGCACGGGAAGACCAGGGCCAGTCTGCAGGGACAGAGGGGTGCCGACCGCATCGGGAGCAAAGAGGCCCTGGGGCGCCGGGAGGCGGCGAGCAGTGCTTGTCCCCGAGACTGACTGAAGCTGGACAGACGCGCCTTCCCCCACCACCCCAAGCCCGCGGAGGCCCCCACAGTGCCCCAGCCCCAGCCGCCTGGCGCCCTCAGCAGACCTGGAGGGAGGGGCCTGGGCCGAGGGGCTGGAGTCTCGCAGGCGGCGGGTCGGAGACGGACACACCGGGGGCCTGGTTGGGCCACCCCGCAGCACTGCCCTGGGCCCCCACGGCCTTGGGGTGCTCTGCACGCAGGGCCCTGCCTTGGGCCTGCAGAAGACCGGACTGGCCTCCGGGACACACCTGTGTCCTCGCGGCTCATGCTGGCACTCCTCCTTCGGCCCCAGGGTCCCCGTCTGTCACTGTGCCTTTTGTACACGGGCCGGATGCCCACGTCGCGCACCTGCCCCTGCCACCTTGGTTTGAGCCAATACAGATGGCGGCCACGTCCGGTGGCTTTGACGTCCCGGCTCGTCCTTCTTGCAGGTCGGGGCCCCTGCCTCGTGCCAGCGGCTCTCACCGAGGGGACTTCTGTCCCCAGGGGACACGGGGCCAGGCTAGAGGTCTTTCCCCAGTCCCGGTGGGGGCTGCTGCTGGCCTCTGACGGGGGGGAGGCGCACAGAGGGCCCACACGGCTGCGTCTGGTGCGAGGGTAGGTCCTTGCCCCCAAGGGTACTTCCCGCAGGGCAGGCAGGGTGAGCCCGGCCCCTGCCCCGCACCCATCCGCACTGGGTCTCAGGGTGCCATGAGGCTCGTGGCCAGGTCCAGGGCGGTCCAGGTCAGCCCCGTCCACCCAGCACGGCCCCTGGGTCCTGATGCCCTCAGCCCAGAGGCCGGCGTCTGCGCCCCTGGTCATGCTCGGAGCCGGCCGGGATCCAGCACCATCGGCATCCTGGTGTCTGGGCGCCCTTCACTCCTGCACCAGCCACCCGCCCTGCACACAGTAGGTGCGCAGTAAACACCCATCAGAAGGTGGGGCCGGGGCTAGTGACAGGACGGCCCACCTCAAGGACAGGAAGGAAGCAGCCACCAATGTGACTCTGCCTGTCCGTGTGCCTCTTCCCCTCCTGCAAGGACCGGTTCTGATCCGACCCAGGACAGTTCTGGAACCAGGCTCTGCCTGCTGGCCCCTGCAGCTTGGGCTCTCCCTCTCCCCGTGGCCACCACGCTGAGGTGGGCAGCTGTGGCTTGAGAGCACTGTCCAGGTCTGGGCACCTCAAGAAGAGGCTGCCCAGTGCAGCCATGGCCACGGCCCCGGGCCGGCGATGCCAGTCAGGTGGGTGGCCGGCCTCCCGCGGGTCTCTGGCCCCACGGCGGCGCGTTCGGCTGTGTTTCCACCCACGCCCAGCCTTGCGGAGAGGACACCTCTGCCGAGGAGGCAGCCGCTCTCGTCTGACCCGGGACAGCACTGTCCTTGGCGACTGTCCCCCACACACGGCCCAGAGGTCATCAGGGCTGGAGAGCGATAGTCCCAGTGGTCTCCTGGCCCAGAGTCCCCGGCCACCATCTGTCCTGCCCCAACCAAGCCCCCTGCTGCATGCTGGATGCCCCCCAGCCCAGAACAGCCTCGCCCTGGTCTCCAGCCCCCAGAGTCCCACGGGTGACAGTCTCTTCAGTGACCACTAGACACCTAGCGCTTCCTTGAATCCATGTCGGTCCTGCTTAGACAAGGAGACAGGACAGGTTGGGGAGGGCGGGGCCGGGCAGCTCCTGAGCGTGGTGGGCGGACCCCTGCCCCCCAGAATTCAGGGGCCTCCTGTCCATCAGCTTGTCTGCAGCGGCCAGAGGTGTGGCCTGGGCTCCGGGAAGACGCTTCCGCTACAGTCTCTGGTGACAGGGAACAGCGCGTGCTTCCCTGGGGGGGCCCCCTGCACTCCAGCAACACAAACACTGAAAAGCTGCTACATCCAGGAGCGGTGTGGGACCCTGGCCGGCACACGTGTGTTAGGATCGAAGGCCCCAAGGACCCTGCCCTAGGCCTTGGCAGGGGTGAGGGGTGTCCAGGCTGAGACCTGTCCAGTCCCTCCCCCACAGTCCTCCCTGGCCCTCCGCCTCATCCTGTGGTCTGGGCCCAGGGCTCTGCCCTTCCCCTGAGAGAATGTGAGTCACCTCCCTGAGTTCCTGGCCCCTTGATCCTGAGTCTGCCTGGGGCAGGTGCCAGGGCTGCTGGGAACAGCCGACCAGCAGGGAGGGGCCTGGGAGGGGCCGCCCCAGGCCACCATAGACCCCGCCGCTCCTGGGCCCTCCTTGGGGCCCTAGCCCCCTCCTCCTGGGTCAGAACCCTTCTGGCGCAGGGTGGCCCCCCCCCCCCCATGGATGGCAAAACAAACTCGGCCCCTATTGCAAAGGGAAATGGAGTCAGGGTCAGGGGCCCGGGCACCAGGCTGAGGCTGGAGGAAGCCGTGGGCGGAGGGCAAAGACGGCCCAGCGTCTTTCAGAAGGGAAGTGGCCAACCCTGGAGGTGTGAGAAAGACAAGCCCGTGGCCAAGGCTGCCCGTGGGGGCCCATGAGAGACGCGGGGTCGGCCTGGGAACCGCCAAGACCAAGGTCCGGCACGGCCCGCTCCGCCCCGCACACCAGGCGCCCCAGGGGCCAGGCCCGGCCCCCCGCAAACCCTGGCCCTGCAGGGCACTGGCAGCGGCGGTGGCATGGAGACCAGAGATGACCTTAGCCCAGACAGGAACGTCATGGATTAGAGTTTCCTCCAGACACAGAATCAAGAGGCTTTCAGAGCCTCGCTTTGGTTTTTAGGGTGAAAAAGTCATTTTAAAAAGATCACTTCCTAAAAAGAAAGGGGGAGGAGGGTGGATAAATCGTAGATCCTTGAACTCGACCAATTTCTTTCACTGAGCTGTGAGTGGAGCATAGTGGTCCGAGGGGCCTGCCATGTCACATGTCTCAGGGACAGGCCTGGCCACGAACAGCGTGTCTGGGGTTTGGTGTGTCCAGATTTTGAAGAGAGAGAAATTCCTGACCCAAAAGACGTGCGACCTGTGTAGAGGGCCCCAGGCCTGGGCAGCCGTGACGGGCTTGAGAAGTCACCCCTGCAGGGCCCAGGCCACCGTCGCACAGTGCACGCGGCCCGGGACGTCCTTCACGGAGCTCGGCCAGCAGCCACAGGGACGGCTGCAGTAGAACCCGACCCGTTAGAAGAGAAAGCAAGACTTTTAGTTAAAATCACCTCCCCGAACTTCCTGTCTGCTTTTAGGGCCTAAAAGAGGAAGTGACACTTTCATAGCCCCTGACATTAAGTGGGAGAAGATGCTCTACGCGTGCGTTCCCCGGAACCGGCCCTGGCACCGCCTCAGGAATCCAGACGCGAGGGCTGCTCAGCGGCCACTCCAGGCCAGGGCTGGAGACAGCCAGCTGGGCCGCGCCACCGGCTGTGCGCTCAGCCAGGGAACAGCCCCTCCGTGCAGGACGCAGGCTCCGGGGGCTCGGGGACGGGGAGGGGGCGGCCCCCCACTGCCCCCCACCTCCAGCCTCCTCTGCGGGGTGGGGCTGCAGTCCATGAAGTTCCAGATACTGGAGCGTGCTGGGGGCACAGCAGGACCCCGTCTGGCCCGAGGGTCCACTGTCCATGGGCTGGGCTGTGACCGCTGGCAGGAGAAGGACCTGAGAGGCAGGGCCTCGGGCCGGAGCTGGGGGGGACTGCACCTCTCACCAGCCAGGACCAACTGCAGGCGTGTGGCTCAGGCGATACACGGAGGTCACATTCCCAGAGACGCCTGACCGTCTATGCTCCAAGCCGTCCGCTGCCTCTCAACTGAGCTCCTGGGCTCCCAGAGAGGCTGCAGGGTGTCCAATACGAAGGTATCAGGAGCGGGCGGCATGTCCCTCCTGGACCCCTCTGCGTCCTGCGGAGGAAGTGTGCCTGGACAGTGCACTATGCATGGCCTGAGGGATGGTCTGTCCAGGGCCCCCAGCCGGTCAGGAGGTGCAGCCGGCCCCCAGGGTCTGTCCCTGTCAGGCCGCGGCCGCCCTGAGCCCCACACTCATCGGGGTTCGGGGGAGGTTTGCCACACAGCACGGGTGGGCCGGGGAGGGACACGCAGGGATGAAGTAGCCGCGTAGGTTCCGGTTTAGACAGAAACCACAGCCAGCCAAAGGTGTGGTCAGGTGAGTGCACAGCTGGTCTTTCGATTCCTCGTATCAAATTCCAAAAAGCCTGCGGTTTTTTCTCTGGGAAAATCCCAGAACCACCAGACCCACTGGCCGAGATTCTCCTGGTCTCTCGCCATAAAAAAGAGGTCGGGCTCTTGCACTCGGACAGGGACATCTGAGAGGCTGCACCCAGAGCCGGGCCTCTGCCACAGGGCCACTCCAGCCCTCCTCCTCCCTGTCGGGGTCAGCCCCTGGGGACAGAGACGGGCAGAGGAGAAGGACCACGCTGCCCCGGCCCCCCCGCCCCCCCGCCGAGAGGCCAAGCCGTGCCTGGGGAAGGCCTCATCAGGCCGGAGGCCGCTCTGCAGGTGCTCGCCCGTGGGGCTGAGCCTGTCATGCTCGGTCGCCTGTGGGTGCCGACACCCCCCGCCTTGAAAACAAACCTCCTGCCTTCAGCCCGTCGTGTCTTCCTAAAGCCGCAGCACTAAGGGGAGCATCTGCAGGGCAGGGCGGAAGGCGCAGCTCGTTGGGCTGTCATAGTAACGCTGTCCTGCAGGTAGGGCCTGCACGGCCCCCCTTTCCACCTGCCAGGAGGCTGAGTGGATCGGCCCGCCCCACCGCTGCTAACAGCAGATTCCACATCCAGCCCCTGTCCACTGTGCCCGAGACGTCCCTCTGCGGCTCCCAGGCGTCCCGCCCCCGCCAGCGGGTTAAGCTGTGGGTGCACAGCCTGGGGTCCCGCTCGGACTGCCTGGAGGCCGTTGGCAGCCCAGGGTGTCTGAAGGTCTGGGTGGGCCCCTGGGGTCGGATTTTCAAAGCTCCCCAGGTTGACTGTGTCAGTGACAGCCCCGAGCCTGGCTCCGGCCACTGGGCGGGCAGCTCATCACCCAGCCTGACGAGACCCCAGCCCCTGACTCACTGGCAAAGGACAGACCGGGGCTGTGACCCAGGGCAGGACCTGGCGGAAACAGGCCGGGCACCAGGGTGCAGTGTGACGCTCACCCCCGGGGCCCCAGCCTGCACTTGATCCCACGGCGCCCTTCCCCACCAGCCGGCACCCTGAGGCCCGCCTCCCCCTAGCTCCGGCCCTCCCAGGCCGAGACAGCGGGGCCTGGGATCACGTGTTCCACAGTTTTGCGTAAGAGTCTCCAGGTCCACCCATGGGGTGACGTGGCGAGATTTCTCTTTCCACAGGCGAGTAACATTCCGCTGTGCGCGCACCTCCTCGTCCAGTCACCTGCCCGCGGACACCGAGGCCGCTCCGTGCCTCGGCTGCTGTAAGCGGTGCTGCAGTGAGCATGGGGCTGCAGTGAGCATGGGGGTGCAGTGAGCATGGGGGTGCAGTGAGCATTGGGGTGCAGTGAGCATGGGGGTGCAGTGAGCATGGGGGTGCAGCGAGCATGGGGGTGCAGTGAGCATAGGGGTGCAGCGAGCATGGGGCTGCAGTGAGCATGGGGGTGCGCGCGTCTTTTCAAATCAGTGTGTTCGTTTTCTTTGAATGAACACCCAGGAGTGGGGTTGCTGGGTCAGACGGTAGCTCTGGCTTTAATTTTTTTGAGGAGCCCCCCGCCCCACAGCAGTGCCCGAGCGCCCCTTGCTCCTCGTCCTCCTCAGTGCCTGTCGTTTGCTGACTCTTTGATGACAGCCCTTCCGACAGGTGTGAGGCGGCATCTCGCTGTGGTTTCGCTTTGCATGTCCCCCGTGACTGGTGCTGTGAGCATCTTCTCATGTGGCTGTCGGCCATCCGTGTGTCCTCTTTGGAGAAATGTATTATGCCAGGTGACATAAGCCAGACAGAGAAAATAATAATAATGAATCGCTTAAAAACACTCGCATAAGGACAAATACTGTATGATTTCACTTACGTGCAGAATCTGAAAAACAAAACAAATGAGCAAACAAAACGGGATGAAACTCACATATACAGAGAAGCCGGCGCGGTCAGACCGGAGGGGGTGGCGGCCGGTGCAGAGGGGAAGGAAGGGGTTGAGAATGAGTCACGGGGCGTGGAGGACGCACTGATAACATTGTATTCACTCGTGTGCTGTCAGACGGCACAAGGCTTCCTGGAGGGGTCACTTCGTGAGGGACATAAATGTCCAACCACCTTCCTGTGCGCCTGGACTCGATGTAACATTGTATGTTTACTACAATTAAAGATCATTTTTTAAAATGTGGGGTTTTGCAGCAGTGCGAAAGGGCTGGCGGCTCCCACACGGCAGAACTAGACGCCCAGGTGTGCAGGGCGGGGGTGCAGGGCGGGCTCTCCCCGCCCCCGGCCTCTGACGCCAGGCTCTTGGCCCTGGCCCCTCCGCAAGGCATGGGCCTGCACCTGTCCACAGGTCTTGTCTGCCAAAGCACCTTGCCTTCCGAAACGGCCTCAGGACAAACTGGCCAAGGGCGTTCCGAGCAAAACCCAGGAATCAGTTGCCAGCGGCAGTCTCTGTGACACCAGACCCCACCTGCACACGGGCCCGGGGTGGGCCTCCCAGGCACCCACAGGCTCTCCCCAGGGAGATCCCCAAGGGGCCCACCTACCGCTCTGCTCTGAAGCAGCCCTGGCCGGACACAGCCCTCCTGCGACTTGATTCACAGCGGCTCCTTCTGATAAAGGGAATTTCCATCCGTCCGTTAAAGAAACTTTTTTAATGACTTCTATTGTTAACACTCTCAGCTGAGGGCCCAGGTTCTTGTGGCGTCCAGGCTCCCAGAGATGTCCCTTCTCACAAACCTGTTCTGTCACGGCACTCGGTGGCTTTCTGTTCATTCACACGCCTTCATTCAACACGCGCCCCACCCACCAGGGGGAAGGGACGGTCACTGAGGGCCCAAGACGGGTCGTCCCAGGCAGGGGGCGCTGGGGGCTTCACAGAGGTAGGGGCAGGCGGCAAGGCTGGGAGGGGGCTCAGCAGGGGAGGGGCCTTTCTTTTCTTTCTGTCGAGATTTCTGAGGCGGTGGCGTGTGTCCCTGTATCATGCGTTCATTCGTCTGGGCACCATGGCATTCACGTCTCCCGCTGAAGAGCAGGGAGACCGCAGAGGTGACTCGTGTTCATTCATTAACCGCCTCCCAGGGCGGGGTGGTGGGGACCCGCGGGAGGGGCGTGGAGAGGGTCAGGCCGGGTCGCGTCCAGCCGGTCTTGCCCAGCGGAGAGCAGGATGCAGTGACCAGTGACCGGTCCCCAAGGCGGAGGAGGGCGGCCGACCTTAAGGCCACTGGGTTCTTTGTGAGACCAGAGTAGCTGACCGGTGGGACGCTCGCCAGGGACACGGCTCCGGGTGCCGCCGTGTCTCATTCTGCCCAAACCCTCGCCCGCTGTCCAGGGAGGCCCTTCTGCCACTGCGGTCCTGGGCCACGTGGGCACCAGGCTGGGCACATACTGGGTGCCCGACAAGCCCTTGCAGTGTCTGCCACCTGGCAGGGCGGGGCCGGGGCCTGGGGAAGGGCACTGCGTGGGCCAGGGGGTGACCCGTTGGTGCCCCC